GGGAGAAGTGGAACACGAGCAGGAAAGGCCTGGCTGGCGGCAGCAGAGACCCACGTGCCAAGAGCTTGCCAAAGGGTGATGCTGAGGGAGCTGGTCCACGTATCAGCTCTCACAGACTCTGGGGGACCGTGGGCCTCCGTCCTCCCACGACCGCTTACAGACCTGCACGGTGCTCCCTACATCACTGTGACCCAGAGCGAGTCAGCTCCGCGGCGGCCACGGGAGCAAAGGTGGGTGAGGTTGGCCCCGGGCACTCACCTTGCATCATGCTCCTGTAGGCGGTGTCTGTGATGGCGTAGATGTGGGGGGGCATCTCGTGCCTCTTCTTGCCCTTGTACATTTCCACGATCTCTTCGGAGTAGATGGGCAGGTTCTTGTAAGGGTTGATGACCACACAGAACAGGCCCGAGTAGGTCTAAGGGAGGGGGAGCAGAGAGAAGGGGTTAGGACACCGGGTTCTCAGAGGTACGCCCACTCCGAGGCAAAGTCAGCCGGAGCCCAGGGCACAGCTGAGACCCTCAGGTGCTCTGGCCCCGCCTGAGCAGCCCTGCTGCCTCACGCCAGCACCGCCGCCGCCTTGCCTCACCAGCCGGCGTGGGTGTCCAGGAGGGTGAGCCTGGGGCAGGTGTCCCGTGTGGTCCAAGTCTAGTTACCATACTGGCACCCAAGGACAATGAGAGGAGTGTCTGCGTGGGGAGCGGCGTGGGGAGAAAAGGCCCAGCTGCAAAGGCACTGAGACCCAAGGGAGTCCACATGCAGGCAGAGACCCGAATGCACGCCTGTGTGGGGAAGGCCCGTGGGTGGCCTCTGGCAGGCATCTCTGTCGGGCTAGTGGGACACTGCCCTCTCTGTAATCTTCCAGAGACACTGACGGTTCAAGTCCTCAGACGCTTAAAAGGTCCACTTGTGTGTCCCCCACAGGCTTCTTGAAGACTCTTCTCTGGCGGGCACCCAGCCTGTCAATGTCCCCACCGTGAGGACACCCAGCACCCCACATCTGACGCAGCGAGGTTAACGCCAGAGTCTGGAGTCGGTCGGACCCTGGGCCCAGGCCCCCCCTTCCCCTCCATTCATTCACGGAATGGCTGTGGGGATCAGAGAGGCTGGCGTGCTGACACAGCACCCAGCTAGCCTTGGAGAGCAGCTCCGAGGAGGCCAACCCATTGCCGTCCATCCGACAGGACAGGGCAGGACTGGGTCCCCCAAGGCTGTCGCTGTAACGGAAGCAGACGGCCGCGTCTTTCTCGTGTGTGGAGCGGCTGGTGGGGTCAAACTGCGGATCCGTCAGCTCACAGCCGAGACCTGAACCACTGGGCCACCCAGGCCCCTCTGGGTCGAGCCTTTCCAGGGGCGGCAGTTTAGAGACGGCTGCTCACCAGGATCAGAGCAGGCTCTGAACCCTGACAGTGGCCATTGATTCTGCTTCTAATCATCTTCCTGCCATCCCTTCCCCAAGACCCCATCCTCCTCTACTGGAAAAGGGCAGTGTGGATGTGATCCCAGGAAGCCTGGGCTGGTGACCGGCGCTCCCTGAAGGCACAGTCTGAAGGGGTTGTGGCAAGCCAGCACCCCCTCCGGGAGAGTCCCAGGCCCAGAAGGCTAGCTGGGTGCAGTCGGCTGCTCCATGTTGCACATACACCCGTCAGGTGACAGCCGAAGATCACAAGGTAGGGAATGGCAGAGCTAGGGGACCAGACCCAGGCCTCAGGACACCCCCTTTTCCTGCACCCCCCATTCTGAGCTCCTTGGCTAACAGAGGCCTGTTTTCAGCTCTTTGCAGCCTGTTTTCCTCAGCGCCAGGCCTGGGTGGTACTGACCATTACATTAAGATGCTCAGCTGCTAACCGTAAGGCCAGAGATTCAAGTCCATCTACGGGTAATTCGGCAGAAAGGCCTGGCCATCTACCTCCAAAATATCGGTCAGTGAAAACTCCGTGGGTACAGTTCTACCTGACACACAGGGTGTCATCCAGAGTTGGGGTCAAATGGACAAGGGCTTGTTTTACCCACCCACTCATCGTTTGACCCACCCCAGCAAGTGCCTGACCCACAACCCCCCTTGTGCCAGCCCAGGCCTAACCCTGCCCTCTGTGGACAGGCCTCCTGGTGAAAAGCCAGGCCCACGCCCAGGTCCACACAGGATGCAGCCACAGGCACAGCGGCCCCTCCCAGGCATTGGACAGCCCCAGCATGGGAATCTGCAGGCCGGGGCTGGGCCCGGGAGCAGAACTCTGAGTGACCCCCTCCCATGCCACACACTGGTCTCGGAAGAACAGCTGAGTCTGGGAATGACCGAGTGTACTTCGCTGACTGCTGTTTGGAGGAGGGGCTGCCGGGCACTCCGTTTCCTCTCTTCCTGGGGATAATCGGTCATTTGTCTTCTCACTCCCGCCACACTTCACACCTGGGGAGAGGTGGTCTACGCTCGGGCTCGCCACCCTGCGGGCTCCGGCTGCACCGGAAGATGACCTGCCCCCTGTGATGTCGAGTGGGGACAAGATTGAGGCCGGAGACAGTGGGGCCACCCCAGGAGCTCGGAAACAAGCCATCCTTGTTCCCCGCATTTGAGTCTAGGAAATGCAGGCCGACGGGGGCAAAGGCCCCAGGGCCACAGGACCACAAGGTCCCGCGGGGCCGTGTGCTTTGCAACAGGGGGCAGCGACAAGTCTCTCGGATGGCTGGCTGGGTGGGTAGATGGCCCCTCAAGGTTCCATGGGCTGATGCCATCAGACTAGAGGTTTGGTGGCAGGGAGCCCGTGTGGACTCCACTCCGCAGGCTGCTCTCGCAGGATGCCCTCCCTTGGAGGCCCAGACAGGCAGGGAGCCGCTCAGCTCCCACACACCGGGGCACAGAGGGGCTTTGTGCCCGGCCGCACCCGTGGCCAGGGCCAAGCAGCTGTGCACAGAATCCCCATGCTGGCAGACAGGGCACACAGAGGTGCCCAGGTGGGGTAAGCCATGCGTGCCCTCGCTGCTCACTGAAGGGTTGAGGTGTTGGTGCCCCCGGGGTGCCACCGAAGAAAGGCCTGGCAATCTGCTCTCCCCCAAAAAGAGAAAGACGGAGCCACCAGAAGTCCCAGGAGCACAGTTCTACTCTGACACCAAGAAGCCACCCCAAGTACAAAGGGCTGCGAGGAGGGGCTCTGAACTGTGAGGCCTGCGAGGGGTGGGGTGGCGGGGGCGATGGTGGTGGTGGTGTGTGTGTGTCTATCAGCGCTTCAGTAGACCACCCCCCCCCAGCTCTGCACTAGCCGGGGCTCCACCACTGACCCAGCGAGGGTGCTCTGAAGAAAGAAGCTACTGGAGAGGACCGCAGAGGGCCGAATGGGGAGCTGCTGCCTACAGTGCTGCCTGCAGAGGAAGCTCAGGGGCGGCCCCCCCACCCTGTCTGTCTATCACAGGCGCCTGCAGAGGGAGAGTGACAAAGCCTCCGGGAAAGGAGAGACAAAGGCCATGGAGCGCACGTCCCGGCTGCGGTCGCTTCTCTTCGGGGAAGCAAGACTCTGCTGGGCCCAGTGGGGCAGGGTGCGAAGTCGGGAGGCCTGGGGGCTGCCCTCGCTTACAGCAAAGCGCTGCACAGCGGCCCCAGCAGCGTGGGTGAGCTGGGGCTGGCTCAGGCTGAGCCCTGGAGTGGAGTGAAGAGGTGGCATTTTGCTCAACTGCAGCATGTGGCTGGTAAGGGGCAGGACAGAGGCTCCAGCCAGCTCTAGTGGCAGAGCACAGCGGATCCACCAGGCATCGGGACTGTGGTTCCCACCTCACCCTGCAGGGAGAGCACTACCTGCATTTCAGTGGCTGGCAGTCCCGGGAGGGCCGGGGTGGATGTTCCTTGGGTCTTGGAGAACATTTTTTACAAGACTCAGAGAGACAGACAGGGAGACAGACCACACTGAGAACCAGGGAGCACAGCTTCCAGGCTCAGCTCAGTCAGCAGCCAGCAGTGTGACAGTAGGGGTTGGGGGGTGGGGGGGTTCCCATCGAGGGGCCTTAGTTCTTCTCGCCTGCCCGGTTGGGGCATCAGAGCTGGCTGGTCCCAAGTCCATCTGCTTGTTGATGGGGCCCCTGCTAATCAGACTCTCCCTCAAAAGGTGAGCGCCAACAGTGGGCAGCAGAGGCCCTTGCGATCAGAGGGCTTCGGCAGTCAGCGAGGCAATGCTGGGCCTGCCTGGACTGTTGGGAAACCCCAAGTGCCCCATGGCCCCACAGAGGGCCCCAGAGGCATGCAGGGTGCACAGAAACACCCGGCCCACGGGAGCAGGTGAAGCGCCCTGGGCAAAGGTGTACCATAGTCGTTCTGAACCTAACATCCCAAAGGCACTGCCATCAAGCCCACTGCGACTCAGCCTGACCCTATACAGAGTTTCCGAGGCTTTGCAAATCTTTACAGGAGCAGTCAGCCTCATCTTTCTCCTATGGAATGGCTGGTGGGTCTGAACTGCCAACATTGTAGTTTGCAGTCCAGGGCTCACCCCAGCCCTGCCGCTGGGGCTCCTCCTCCCACTGCCCTGAGTCGATGCCGACTCTCACAGCTACCTTAGAGGGCAAGGGAGGGTAGAAGGGCCCCTGTGTTCAGGGAAAACCCCACCTTTCTCCTGAGGAGTGGCTGGGGGGTATTGAACTGCTGACCTTGCAGTTAGCAGCCTGACGTAGCCACTAGGCCACCAGGACTCCTTGTAAAATGAGAGAACCACAATAAAACCCGCCTAAGGGTTTGGTTTTTGTTTTTTTCGTCCTGCCAAAAGGGGGAAAACTAATTTCTCAAGAACTGTTGATCCAGACCCAACACCAAGAAGTCCAAGGTGGATAGAACAGCATATTTGAATAAAGTGCTATTTTAGGACTAATAAAAAACAGATACTTCTTCCCTCGTGGGGACAGAACCAGAAAGAAGTCTCTTTGAACAGAGGAATCTGAGTTCGGCAGTAGAGCAAGCCTCTGGCCCGGGGGCCCTGAGAGCTGGAAGCTTCTACTACTGATGGGGTGGGAGGGGGAGTAGTCGCTTCCTGATGGTCCCGTGACTCTGTTGTCTTTATGCAAGTGTGGGCGGGCTAGAGGAAAGGGAAGAGAGGCCTCCTGGTCATCTGAGGTCCATGCTAGCCTCTGAAGGCATTTATTTCCCCGTGCCAGGGCCCCTGGGAGCAGGCTCCAACATGCTGGGTGGGCGGGCTCTGCTTTAGTCCTGCGAGCTCCCTCTTCAAACTCCCCCCACACAGGGCCTGGGCAGGGCCTAAATGAAGAGCAAGATGGCAGAAAGGGGTGAGGCAGGGGGGTGAGTGGGGCCCAAGGGAAACCAAGAAACAGTACCCCCTACCACACTGGCCTGCACCATCTGTCTCGGCCATGCTCCGAGGTGCCGAGCCCGGTTCAGCTGGCAGGCCGCCTCACGAGCCCAACGCAGGGCTGACAGCGGGCTTCCGTTGGCACCAACAAAAGAGCCTTTGAAGGCCGGAAGCTGCGCCAGGTGGAAACCCTTCGGGGAAGGATGGCACAAATCCTCCCCATCACAACTGGCCACCGACAGGCGGTTAGAAACCAAACCCAGCTCACCGCCCCTCGAGTGGATGCCGATTCACACCGACTCAATAGGACAGGGTAGGACCGCCCCTGTGAGTTTCTGAGACTGGAACGCTTCATGGGAGTCGAAAGTCCCGTCTCTCTCCCGAGGAGCGGGTGGTTTTGAACTGGTGACCTGGCGGGGTTGGGAGCCCAACGTGTATCACCACGACACTGCCACCAGGCGGTGAGAGACAGGAAGACCCCAGAGGCCTGGGGAAGCCTGGCCAGTTCTGTGGGCTGATGGCTACAACCGAATGCCATGCAGAACCGGGTGCCCACCCCCACCCCACCCCACCTACTTCCCGAGAGGCCTTGGTGCCCCGCCGCCGCGGCGCCACTTACGTAGATGAGCCCCGAGTAGTACCGCTCCTTGAGGTTGTGCAGCACGGAGGCCTCGTTGAGGCAGGTGAGCTCGGCCATGTCCTCCACCTTGGAGAACTTGGGCGGGTTCATCTTCTGGATGTCATCCTTGTTCACCTTCACCTTCTTCCCGTTCTCCACCAGCTCCACCACCGCCTCCTCGCCCAGCTCCTCCTTGAGGCTGGCTGGCTCGAAGCCGTTCTTGTCCGAGGGCACCCACACCAGCTTCTTGGCCGCCCAGTCCGCCTGGGCCAGGGGGTTGTTGATGAAGTTTTTGTCCACATAGAGATACTTGTCGGCGGCTTGCTGCGCCATGGTGACTCACGGCAGGACCTGGGGGAAAGAAACGGACACGGGGGTCAGAGGCGAGGACGTCAGTCGGCCCATCGGTGGGCATCGTGGGGGCGACACAACCATGCAGCCCGGTCGGCGGCCAGGGCTGTCCTGCACACCCCCGCCCCCACTTCAGGGAGAAAGCCGTGCATTGCTGGAAAAAATAATCTAACCCCAGGGCTGTTGAAAAGCCTGGCTATTGTTACTCTGAGGACTGAGGTGCGCCCGGTCCAGCCTGGGTATATCTCCAGTCGCCTCATGCACGTGAAAGCTGAACTCCGGATAAGGAAGCCTGGGGGAAACCCAATGCACGTGAACTACAGTGTCGGCGGAGGCACCAGGGACTGCCAAGAGAACAAGCAAGTTTGTCCTGGAAGACGTACAGCCAAAATGCTGCTTAGAGAGGGGCGAGGAGGGCTAGACTTCTCATCTGCTTTGGGTGTGTTGTCAGGACGTGTTGTCAGGACGTGCTGTCCTACATCCCGCGTGGTAAAGTCTCGGGCACTGAGAAGGAGGATGGGCCTCGAGGAGGGGGACTGATGCCAAGGCTGCACCGATGGGCTCAGAGCTCCGGACAATGGTGAGCATGGTGCAGGCCGGGCAGGGTTTCTTTCTGTGGAGTATGGGGCTGCTGTGGATTGGAACCAACTCAAGCAGACAGCACCACGCACCAAGCACCAGGGATTAATGAATGTAAGGGATGTCCAGTGTCAGACTCTTCGGTGAGCGAGGGAAGCATGGGCCGACTTATGCTCCTCTCTCTAATGACTTTTCACCCACGTGAAAGACACTGCTTCCAGGCCTTGGTGGCACCTGCCTTTGCCCCCACCCTGCAGCACCTTCCAGCAGAATTGACGCCTCTTTTCACATGTGTTGTCCCTGGCAGGGGTGGCGAAGAACTCAGTCAGGAGGATAAGCAGGGGCTGACGCGTGTTTCCTCACAAACCTAGAGTGGACGGTCCCACAAACTTAACAAAGTGGGTGAGTGTTCACGCCAGAGCAGTGAGTACACAGCGCGCAGTCCACAAATGACCACCGTAAAGTGCAATTGGTCACCACCAGACACCGTGGGAGTTTTCACTTTTAAATCCCTGTCTCCTGCCAAGGAGTCAACCACGGGAGGAAAATGGACCCCCGACATGTTTCCTTCCCTCTTCAATGCCACCAGATTGAAGTGCCATCTCAGTGATCCAGTTCGGAGAAATACGGACAGGAGAGAAGAAGCCGGCGGCTAGGGAGTTGGGGGCACAGTAAGAGCACCTCCCCCACCCTAGGGCGCTGGTGGAGCTGCGGCCCTCACCAACTGAGGGCCAGGTGTAATGAGCCACGGGTGTCTCCTGCTCTGTCTTCCAAACTGATTGACGAAATCATGACCATGAGACAACCCACCCTTCCAGCTGTGAGGCTTGGTGGTGTCTGAGATGCCGTCACCCGCGCGCTGCGATCCCTAGAGGTTTCCCAGCAACCGCTCTGCGAGGGAGGGTGGCCATGTGTGTGCGACCGATCCACTTCACCGGCAGGGACACCAAGTCCCTGGAGTGGAAGGCCTTGCCCACAACCACTCCTGCTCCTCGGGCTCCCCCCGGACACCGTAGCTGGTCCTGCTCAGAGGGTCTCCCGGAATGGTGTAGGCCTGAGCCCACCAAAGCAGGGCTTGGAGAGCCTGCTCTAAGACCCCACTGTAACCACTGACTCCCCAGAGAACCGCCGCCACACCCTCTATGCCCCTCTGAGCAGAATCAGTCTTTACACCCCTTTGCCTGGGAAGGGAAGGCCCCCCCACCCCCCATGGCCCCTCAAGAAACCCTGGAGGCCTCCCAGACCCGAATCCAGCACCAGCCTGGCCTCCAGATCCCCAGGACAGACAAGGGGCATATCAAAAGGAGAAACTAATCAACCCCACCAAGAAGTCACCGGCCCAGGCCTTATCTAGGCTCAGTAAATGGTTTCCAGAGCAAGACTGAGGGGCGCCTCTGGCCTGGCTCCAGGAGGCTGTCTCCCAGGATGACTGCTGGCACTTCCAGCCCCGGAGCAGGGCAACTATCACAGGG